TTTTTTTTTTTACGAAGCATTAACACGTTAGACTGCACCCCATAAACACAATCAAGCCTAGAAAAAACCCAGTGAACCACCCCTTTAATTGAACAATCAGTCATAATGACATGGTCGTTTAAGAAATAGGGCTAATACTTTTTTTTCATTGTAAAATGTTTTTGCTTTTAGGTTTACACCTAAAATTGAAAGCAAGTCCAAATAAAATAGGAATATAATATGATTTCCTTTAATTGATCTGTAAACAGCATACATTTCAGTCAAATAATTCATTATATTTTTAAGGGGGAAAAAATGTAATCTTTTCTCTGAGATTTTGGAAGATCAACTTGAAACTTGTAAATAACAAATACAACCAACAAACTGCCTTAATTGTTGGCTGTAGCATGGTTTACAGAATAAAGAAATACATTAATATCAGTATTTAAATATTTTAAACAATTTCTATATCAATTTTAAGCAAGAATTGATCCAAATTCAGAATTTATTTGACTGTAACAAGACTGCCATTTATTAGTTTGATGTGAGGGGTTAAACCGCCATTCATGTTTCTAGATATCAGTGCTTTTTAGTCTTTTATATTTTATGAAAATGTGTTTGGATTGACTTTTTCTGTAAACATTCACCAGTATTTATATAAATGAGTTATATCAATTTTTTTATATTAAACCCCAGCTTTAGAGATCTAGAAAGGTATATTGTGTTGATAATCCAATCTAACAAAAGCACAGGGTCTTTTATATGTGAAACTTTCCTTGAAACAGATGTATTTTAGAGACAATATAAGCAGGCATAAAAGAGTCATAAGCCTATTAAATGTTTTTTTTACCTTGTTGGTTGCAGTAATAGGAGAGAGATGCATGATCATTTTCAAATACTCAAATGATTCATTTTTTAAATATCAAAGACACTTCAGATTTGAAACAAGCTATTATGAAATAAACATCTCTATACATTGTCTTTGAAAGCGGTTTGCCTGAAATAAAGTTTGAATATGTTTTATGTTTGATTACTATTCACAAATCACTCTGACACTATAACTAAATCCTAACTAAGTTACGTGCAGTATTGTTGTGTAATTATGAAGCACGTTGCTAACCTTAATAATTTCAGGTCGCAAAACTGAAGACAAATCAGCAGTCAAACACCAATGCAGTGACCCTCAGGGTTTATTTATTGATTACTTATCTCACATCCAAATGAATTCTTAAATAAAGAAAACAAAACATCCCGCCAACAGAGGAAACTTTTACAAAGTAATACAATATTACAAAGAACTATTAGTGAAAAAGATTCAATGGCATCTGATCAACAGGAAAAAATAGTAGTGTCAAGGACTAAGAAAAAGCCTTGGTCAGAAGAGTTAACAATGGGTATATGTACATATATACAACCTTAAACACAAACAAAGGAAATTACAAGAATATACATGCACGGCAGACAGTTTGGTTTGCTTCAGATGCAGGTTTTGCATCCACAGCGGTTTTTAATTAATGTTCTTTTTGGTAACCGCAAAAAAAATATTGCGTCCTTCTGTCATCCTCTAAAATATATGTACTTGCAATCAAAGTTTGACCGTAGCATTTTTTTTTTCACTAGCTCCTGTCAGTACATTTAATACATGGCATCTGTAGATTTATAATAAACAATTTGATTTCAATAACATTTTATACAAGATGTTGTTTTGTGGATTTAAAGTTGTGCATTGTGCTTTAACAGGTCTGGAATGGACAGTTTATTAACAAACAATCGCATGTGCTTGAGTTACAAGTGGAACAAAAGGAAATACTCATTACAAACAAACCAATTACATCGTCCAATTAAGTATCACTGCATCCCACAAATTTGACAAAAATCACTTACGTTATAAAGCATGTCAAAAAATATTTAAATTGTAATAATATTTCATAATATTACTGTTTTACTGTATTTTTGGTCTTATAAATGCAGCCTTGGTGAGAATAAAATACTTCTTTAAAAACATGAAATCTTACAGACCCCAAATTTTTATATTGCGAAATGATGTGTGTTAGTACAACACATTTAGAGAGGATCTTGCAAAGGGATGCGTGTGGATGTGTTTGAGATGGACACAATGCATGCTTGTTGACACATTACCTGCGCCTCCATGCGGGCTCTGCGCTCTTCCTCCTCCTTGCGTCGTCGCATGTTCTCATTGTCCTGTTTAGCTTCACTGAAGGCCTGTAGGAACTGATCAAAGATGCCAAAGAACTCATCAGGCTGCATGCGTGTGGCGTCCTCACCGAAGTGCTTCACAGCCTTCTCAAACTGTGTACAATGAAAGACAAAGACATTTAAGAGAGTGATTCTTTGTCATATAATCATTATTTTTTCTTTGGTACTTGAACTTGGTAAGTAATAATAAAAATTAAAAAAAAAGAAGTAAAAAATTGTCATAATTTTTTTTTTCAGCCCAATTGTCCAGGCTGCTAGAATAAACTAGTGATTTTCTTGTCATATACACCAGTGTCAACGCGTAAAAAGACAGTATAAGTCATTATAATCAGTAATTATATCCCCACTGCATGCAACAAATGCCTCCTTTATAATGGGTTTTATTGGTTTTGACTCGTCGCGCCGGGACACGGCAACACAGTATGGTAAGGGGCGGAACATTTCTGTCACACGCTTGAGGTGTTCGGCCAATCACAACACACTGGATAGCTGGCCAATCAGAGCACACCTCGCTTTTCAGAACGATGAGCTTTGTA